CAAATGCCTCGTAGCACCCGAGAGATAAGGAAGAACTATGTCCGCCCCCAATTTACAGCTAGGAAACTTAAATATCAACCCAGCTGCACAGAAGAATCTGTGCCAGAAATTTTCAACCTGATTTCCTGTGTCTGGGCTAGTACCTTAACTTCTAGCACATCCTTATCTCAAATCTTAAAAATTCTGAATTCTGAAGTTTACAATTTTAGCATTCCTTCAATCTTTTTCTTTTTTTAATTACCTGCACAAACCAAAAGCCCATGAGAGTCATTGCGAATGACCATGGGAACAACAATTTAGGACATTCTGATCCACAGTATCACTATCACTTCAACATGGTAATTCACAACTGATCAGTAGGTTTCAATGCTCTTTGACACTACAGGATCTTCGTGTCCTATTTCAGGTTTTAAGGACAGTGTAGAGATTACAAACTTTAAAAGACACACTTTCTTTTTCTCGTTCTGTCCTTTCTGTCACCGACCCTACCAGTTTGTTCTTGTCCCAATCCTTCCTCACTTGCACACACACATGCAGGTCCATGTCTCAATCCCTATATCACTGTTCCAGTCCCTCTGCATTCCAAAAAGTCCTCTGCCACCATCTCCTCTTCACTGCAAACACCAGCACCACAAAGAGAGGAAATTCTCCTTGTGCACAGCTACCATTCCTAGAACAGCAGCTCCATCTGCCAGGAAGACACTGCAGGAATAGCAACCCAGCAATCCCAGGCTGCAGCACATCCAGGACAGATAGAAGCTTTAGATAAATTACCTGGCAGCCCCCAAGCAACCTCTCAGCATGCAGAAACATTTTTTCCCAAGGCTTGTAACTTGGAAAACTTGCCCAAACAGTACCAAGAAACAGCAAGATTCAAGACACTCATACCAAAGCAGCCCCTTTATCAAAGATCAAGTCCTTGCTCCAAACCATGGAGACATTACAGATTCTCCAGAAAATGTAAAGATTTTATTAAATGAGAAAAAAAAATCTCTCTTTAACTTCTGTTTCTAGTACACCTTGAAAAATTCTGCTGAAAGTCTCTGAAAAAGTTGAGGCAGATAAAGCATGTACAATTCCAGCTGAAATAGTTAAGTTTGACAGTTGTTATAAATCAGGAACTTAAAATGGAAGGAATCATACATTACTACATGCAACATCTGTAATACAAGAATGGATCAACACTAAAATACTGAGTGAATTTGATCAAGATACTTGCTTGCATATAATCATGGAATCAGATAAACAATTCCCTCCACACTGGAACACAGACTCTTTCTCCCCCCATTTCCAAGTCTGCTCTTCATAACAAATGAGGCAGGCCTCATATTCCAGGCAAACAGCTGTCTAGTACCACTCACCTGAGTCTTATGGATCTCCCTCATTTATGTCTTCTTCATAGGATGTAATGTCTCCCACTAAAGGATCCTCCCTTAATCCACTGCCGACTAAACCAAGCTTTCATTATGGTAAAGCCAACAAACAGAACTATTTGCAGACACAAAACATAAGAAACGGTTGTCAGTTTTATGTAAAATAGCATTTGTAAGAGACAACTCAATTTCAACAGCTTTAAAATAAGACCCCAGCTGCAATGATGCAGAAACCCCAAAAATTAGTTCCATGCATTCCAAAAAACATGCATTTCCATGCAATGCATAGCAATTAAAAATGCTGGCCAAGGCTGCTGGAGTAGCACAAGGTGAAGCCTCTCCCTAGAGCAGACCTGCATTCAAATATCTTTACTGAATAACAAAGAACTTTTGTGGACAACTGAAGCCATATTCATATCTTTGAGATCTTCTGCAGACGTTTGGTAAGACAAATAATCTACATTTTACTAATTTGTTAGCAAGAAAGAACTGTTGCACATCCGTATCCTTTGTAAAACAATAACAAGCTACTTTGCAAAAGAAGCATAATAGGTAAACTGAAAACCAATGATTTTTTAAAGCCAAACCTGACCAGTAGAAAAAGTCAATACCCATGTAGCTGTCTCTGAAACAGCGCAATTTAAAAAGCTACCCATCTGCCTTTGGATAGTTTATGAACTGCACAACAATCACACAGACGCATCAAATTGAATTATTCCATATTTTCCATTGATCATCCATTCAGATTCAGAAGTTGCAAGTTGTTCACCTTGCCCAGGTTTCAGACCAACCTGAATTTCAGCTTTTAGAGTTCTTATGCTGCAGAGAGGTGCAGGATGAAATTTGTTCAAGGCTTGATGAAATGGAACCGTAAACTCCCATTTTCTATCTCCTGTTAGTTTCCTATAGTTCAGATCACCTTTAAAAATAATTACACTTGATTTCTGCAGTTCAGCATACAAGTCAGGAGCAACCTGAGCCATACTAGAAAATTCATGTGGCAGAGTCCAAAACATGTGATCGTGGTAAACCCAAACGCCTTTTTTTAAATTCCCCTCCCAATTCATCCCACATCTAGACATCCACATATGATTAGCTGACTGCAGTTGCTTAAGAGTCCAGTTAAAATCATGCTTTGTGGTATCTGATACAAACCATGGAATACATTTTCCATGGAAGTGGACTTCAGTAGCTAACTTTGATGATGACAAGAAGTTAGCCAGTACTAGATCAGTTATAAGTTCAAAGCCAGCATTATCCAGAATTATGTCAACTCTTGTAATAGATTCTTTGGTGGTTGTCCTTTTCTTGGAATTTAAAAGCAGTGACCAAAGGTCTTCCATGTCATCCACCAAGATGAAAGATTTAAAATCATTTAAGGATTGCAGAAGGCTGGATTTCTGAGAGTTGTCTTCACCAGCTGAAATGGAAAGGTCACACCTATTCCCCCACAAGGAAACCTGAAAAGAAAAAAAAAGGTACACATGCTAAATCTTACTGAAACTAGATACTAACCAAGGTCTTCATGTTGTAAAGACACTGCTCTAGAGCACAGAATGCCCTCATCCCCCCAGATCCTATGTTGGGCATTCTATTAAAAAAAAAAAAAAAAAAAAAAAAAAACAACAGATTTCAAGGAAGGGATGAGTTGTGGGAAGGGAAACAAAATAATGCTCTCTATTTCCAAAGACAAAACAAGTATGAGATGAAAGAGGGAAAAAGAAAAACCCTTCTCTCTTCTTTATCTTGGATTTGTTACAGTTAGGTTCAGTAAATATATGGACTCTAAACACAAGAGACACACAAAGAGTTATAAATTCCAGGAAGCCTTGGAATAACAAGGCTGCGTTACTAATAAAGGGTAAAAATTAGTTTTAAAAACCTTTTCAAGAAATCAGCACATTTACCTGCAACAGCTTAAAAAATTCCTCCTTAAGTTGATTTTCATTTAGATCCTGTATGTTTTTAAGGAGTTCCTGCAAGTAAGTGCATATGGCAATAATAGCCTGTTGGGATTCAAAAAAACTTTGAATCTTTGCTTCCATAAATGGATCAAAGTCATCAATAGGTGGACTAAAATAAGGAGAGAAAACAAATAAGTAAGTATAAAGAATTTAATTTCCAATTTCTTCCCCCACAGAAGACATTCTGAAATTACAACCCAAGTTAAAACTGAAATTCTAAACCTGACCTTCTGCAGTTAACAAGACATACAGGAACCTTATGGGCACATCCACACATGTGAGCACATGCGCTTACAGCAACTCAAATAGAAGCAGTGCAAATTTGAGCTGGGGCTTTTTGCCTTAGCGCATGTGCCTGGATATGCACTTTGTTGTGGAGCAAATTGTGCCACTTGGGGCAAGATAACCCTGTCTGACTCCTCCTGGATCTGCAGCCAGGAGGCACTGGCCCCAGAACTATAAAAACCTGCCCTGGCCAGCAGCTCAGGGGCTACTTGCCCTCAGGAGATTCTGAGGCCCAGCCACTTGCTATCTGGGGACACTACCCCTTGTGTCAGCTAGACGCTGAAGCAGCATCCCAAATTAACTATGAAATCTACAAAAATACCCCCAAATCAAGAGAGAGATCAGATGGGCACTGTTTTATTGCTATATTTACAATGTTAGAGCAATTTGGAAGCCTACCAGTGTCTCTGGCATCATAATAAAATAAATCCTAAATATCTGTATGTTTTAATGTTTGTTTTTGGTTCCCTTATCACATGGTGGGGGGACTGTGGGTGTGGGGGTTGCTTAGGAGGGGTGAGTCCCCTGTCCCCCACAGGGCACAGCTCTGCCACACAGCACACAGACTACCCTGCCTGCAGGGTCTCACCCCCCACCCCCAGGGGCTACAGCTCCTCTCCAGCACCCACACTGGTCTCCAGCCCCCTTCTTATTTCCCTGCTCCTCTTCAGGCTCTAGAGGCTGGAAACAGCAGGGGAAGTCTCCAGCTCATCTCCAGGGGCTTGTCTCCAGCCTTGGGAGGCTGGACACGAGCAGGGGAACGAGCAGGAGGCTGGAGATGGGCCCCTGGAGACTTTCCCCTGCTGTCTCCAGCCTCCAGGTTATTCCCCTGCTCATCTCAAGCCTCAGGAGGCTTTCAAGGCTATTGCATTGTTATGAATTTTCCCTGACAGATCATTAACATGTTCTTTACATTTCCTGTGGGGACAAAGTTTGGATTACACTGAATAGCACATTCTTTGAACAACTAAATGTACAAAAGGAATTTTTGGTTTGGAAAATCTGTCCAGGACATTTTACCCCCGACTTCCAGAAATCTTTTTGTAACTTGGAGAGAAGTTTTAGAAGGTCTCTTACACACAGTAAACTTGAAATCACACACTCATTTTGGGCACCTTTTTTTGGTCAGAGTTCTCCAGACTATAGCTTAACACTATGTATACAAAGCAGGCAAATATTTTTATATGCGGGCTAATATTTTTAGAAATGCCAGAGTCCTACTGCAAGTAAATAGAGAAGATTTCTGGAGTCTTGTGAGAAATGTCATACCTAAAAATATTAGAGGGAAAAGATATTAATATATGTAACAAACTAATTCTACTCTCACCATCATTTTCCTCTTTTAGTTCCTACCACTCCTCCTCTAAAGGCCATGGAAGAAGCAGCTATCCAGTAAGCAAAGAGCCAATATAAACTCAAAACTTAAAATGTTAGACATTTTCACCTGCAATCAGTGTAACTTTTTAGAGGGATGTGCAGAAGAGAATATGGGGTCAATCTTACATTTCCTTGACAAGAGTGGTACAGTTGAAATTAAACTAAGGGGTGGAAAAGTTGATAAAATACCATGCTAAGAAGTCTAGCACTGAAATTAACAGAAGATCCAGAAAGCAGATCACAGTTCTAAATTCTACTAAACAGATCTACCTTTTAAGCTAGTAAGTCTCTAGGAAGCATTAATCACTTTCATATCAAGCTGCACTATTTTGCAGAAACCATGGAAATAAACTGCTCTGCAGCAGAGCAAAATAGATGATACTAACTGGAGGACATGAGAGACTAACTTAACATATACTCCAGTATCTTAAGCATGAAAGAGGAATAAAATGTCCAACTGTCTTGAGGAAGCAGGAGAAGCGAGATGAGAAAATGGTGTGCATTTAAGATGGAACAAAATTCTACCTTAAGCCTCAACTATTATCCCTCTTTTTCCTCTGACCATATTCACACAGACAACAAACAAGAACCACATATAGATTAATACTGTAATAAAACAGAAGTAATACTTCCATAATACTTACTTATGAATTAGTGCTTCATGAATTCTACGGTACATGTAACATTCTACATATAGCCAAGGGGACTGAAACCAGCTTGGCTGTCCATTTCCATTTGATACATTTCTTTGATATTCTAGGTACTGGTTCCATATTGGAGTATCAGGGAGCTCATCATTCAAAGGGATCATTGGTTTGTCCGTTTGCAATTCATTCCGTAATTTAGAGAGGAAAGATATAGCCCTCTTCTCTGCCTCAACACCTTTCTGAAATCAAACAGAACACAAATGTCTCCATTTTGAACACACTTTTTTTTGGAAAGCCATGTACTTTATACCAGCTCAACATTGCTGGAAAGAAAGATTAAATCTTAGTAGTCATAACTGTTACAAGCTCTAAGGACTTTGCACTAAAGTAGTTCAAGCAATGCTCACCAAAGCTTTCATTCAGTATCAGAAATACCAAGATGTTTCATACACACATAAAAGAGGACTATACAGCATGGAGGCTATTCACCTCCATTTTCAGGTAGGAACTTTTCCCTCAGATAGTAAGTATTCTGTTCAATCAAGTGGATGGTTCAATATGGGGACAACAACAGCTTAAAACACTGGCTACCCACCCAAGGCCTAAGATGAACATGTGGACAAGCGAAATCAATAAAGTCACAGAAGAAAGACCACAGAAAGGCTTATAAGTGGCAAGAAAAAAATGAAATAGACAAAAGGAAAGAAGCAGCATCCAGGAATGTGTACACAGAAGGAAAAGGAAAATTAATAAGCTACATGGGCAAACTGTGGAAGAAAAAAAAAAAAAAGAGAAAAGAATGAGAATAAAAGGAAAGCAGAGAAGAAAAATATGTTTAGAAAGTTCTCAGTAAGACAGTGGTAAAAAGACAACACTATTCTTACCTCCCCATGTTTTTCAAAGAATTCATTTTTATGTCGGTGTAAAGTATCAATAACTCTGGTTAAGATCTGGGGTAGTCTATCTTTAATTGTAAAATATGCAAATGATCTAGAAAGAAAAAGAGTAAAGTAGTACATTGTTTACACTCATATTAACAAATTAATGTCTCCTCAGTAGTCATGTTCTCTAAGAAGTGCCCACGCTTAAAAGGACACCTAACAGCTGCTTTTTCCAAGTGCCAAAAAGTGCCAAACTTGGAAATCCTCCCTCTCTCCCCAAAATGAGCTCAAGCTTAGCTTTTCATTGTATTCACCTTTGGCAAATACAACAATGAATTCCAGAGGAATGCGTGCTTGCCACACATCCCCACTATCTGGATTAGCTTTTGTGACTCCTTCATTCCTATGGATGTATTAATGTTTGTTTGCCTCTTCCAGCACTCCCCACCTTTCCCCTCTTCAGACCCCCCTCCTACCTACACCCTGCTCTTCTGCACTTCCCTCCACATCTTCTAAGTGAGCTTCTGCTCAGAAAAGCATATGTATGTAGGTAGGTAAGGGAGAGTTGCACCTCAGGGACTAACTATCACAGACTAAAAGGTGCAAACCTACTCAGCCTAACCAGAGACAGAGCCAGAGCCGGCCCAAGCCAGCTATCTTGCTATCTCTAATCTCCATCTCAAATCTACCCTGCCTATCTAACTACATAGATGAATAGCCAGATTCCTCTACCTTGGTTAGTCTGTAAGATGCAAATCTACCCTGCCCATCAATCTACACAGATCAATACAGCAAAGCCAGCTACCTAGCTGGATACAGCATGAGCTAGCTAGCTAATTAAATCCACCTTGCTTAGTCCACAAGTGGACTACTGAAATTGAGACTGTGAGATTTCCACAGAAATTTGGATTTTGGGTGGCATCCGTGAAAAATGGGAGGCTCGCTGCAAAACATTTACCAGCCAGCAGAGAAACAGCCAGGAAACCCTGCAGCATCCCAACAGAGCAGGGCTCCAGCTTCAAGCAGCCCTCCTACCCTGCTCCAAGACCACAGGGCTTCCCTGCTTTTTCTCTACCTGCAGGCAAGGTTTTTTTTGTTTGTTTGTTTGGGGGGGTTGCAGCGAGCCTGCCAAAGTCATGAAGCCTACTGCTTAGGGACGACCCGAAACTGCGACTTAATAACCCTAATTAAGCCTGGGGAAGCCATTAATCCATGCTTAATAATAACAAACAATCCACTTCCGCACCGCGTCCAGCCCCAGTTCCCCACCCCAGTTCCCTGACGGACCCCTTAAACCTGCCCGACAGCGAAACCGCCGCCGCCGCCATTTTCTTCCTCCTCACCGCCCCGGCAACCCTCCCGGAAGTGACGTAGACTCCCCGCCCCCCGGGACAATTGGGAGCCGGGGGCGAAGGTCGCCCCTGGCGCAGGCGCATGCGCAAGCACCGCAGCCATTCAACGGGTGCCGCAGGTCAGTTCCTCGGTGTCAGGTCAATTTCCCGGGCCTCCCAGGCGGCGGCCCAGCGCCGGGGAGTGGGGTCCATCTGCCTCGTAAGGCGCCCTAGGCCGGCCCGTTTTGCTTCGTGCAGAGCTCTCATCCTGCCACAGGGAGGGAGCCTACACCCGGGCTTAGCCCTGGACACGCCCCTCCCATGCCTTTTGCTGATTGGTTGGCTAGGCGCATGGCCCGCCTCCGGAGATGAAGCAGCTAATCAGGGCAGGGCTCTCACTGGCACCCTTCTATCGGGAGGGAGCGCCCTGTACTATGCGCATGCGTCCTGTGCCTTTTCTGATTGGTTGTTCTATCTCTGGGGGCAAGCAAGGCAGCCAATTAGGGAAGGGTTCTACCTGGGCACCATTCGGGCCCTGGATTCGGTGGGCATCGCCCTGTGCCTTTTCTGATTGGCTGTTTTGCCCGCCCCCGGGGATAGAGCACCTAATCAGGGCAGGGCTCTCCCTTGACTGCATTCCTTGAGGAGGGACTAGCAGAAGCCTTTCAGGTAAAGCTGATCCATGGGGAGAGGCCCTCTACTACCCACCGTATGGCCTGGAGCGGGCTGGGCACTAGCCACCCTGAAAGGACCCAAACTGGGGAGACAGATGCTGGTAAGCCCTGTTGATAGGCTTCAGGTGTGCCAAGGGCAGAATTAATTGCTGGGCATGAGGGTGGTTGATGCAGGTATTTGAGTTCTTGAAGTGCAGGCCTCTATCGTCACATTGGGTGCATCTGGTTACGGGCATAACACTGAGGGCCTCACCTGCACACACTGGGGATAAGCAGCAGCCTTCCAAAAGAGAAAACAAATGACAGGTTTTAAGGTGCAAATCTACCCTACCATGGGTTTTGGCAGCAGGTCCACTCAGAACCTCAAATCCCCAGCCCTCGAGGAACCAGCAGGCCAGATGATACAGCTACACAGGCCAGATCTGGCCTGCAGCCCATGTATTTGACGTCTTTTCTGGGTGAGCAGGATTCAGAAATTCTTACATGAGGTTTAGCATCTCTGCAGCTTCGCTCATGCTGGCAACCAGAAGATATACCAGCGTGGATGGAAAGTTAATCGTCTAACTTCTGTTTATCTGTCCACTCTATGGTAACATTCCTGCTGTTGCTCCTACTGTTAGAGCCACAGTAGCGTTGTCGCATGTAGGAAGACTTATAGAAAATGCTTGGTAAAGACCAGGCCCAAACACAGAACAGTACTGCAATAGTAGATTATGGATTGGTCTATAAGGAGTTGATGTGAGAGAAACTGGAATCCACCGGTGCATTTGTACATTTTGCTAATCTTACTTAACACATTTGAATAGTGGCTGTTTCTGGCTGAAAATGCGATTGAGTTCTTATTTCTTTTTATATTGTTTCCATCTGCACAGTCTCTAAATAGATCTCAGAACAACCCTCGGGTATTTGTCTGCTGCTAGGTAGGTTGTAGTCCATGTATTTCTCCCGTTCTAATAGCCTTTTATTTATCTAATTTGCATTTAGCAGGGCACTTTTATTTAGTTGCATGTGTCAGTATAGATCTGAGTTCAACTGTTAACTATTTGGTGAAGGTTACACTGGATCAAGTCTAGTTATTTATTGTTTGTTTGAAACTACAGAGTAAATGTTTTTGCGGATCACTAATGAAGTTACCTCTGTGGTGGGTTTAGCTTAGTGTAATCACAGTTTTATTGGCTGTTTTTTGGTGGTAATTATTTGTATTGTGGTCATACCTTAGCTCCACTCAGAATTAAGGCTGTGTTCCTCATTTTATATGTTCTTTTTCCATCAAAAAACCCCAATGATGTAAAGTTATGTTGCAAATGCAAGGGGAGGGATGATTATTGAGGAACTGTCGTCTTGTTCCAGATACCATAATTCTAAATCCATGGGAATGTTTGAAAACATTTCTAAAAAGAGGAAAGTTACATTTTAATTTCATTGCATATTATGTCCCTAAAAGGAAAAAAGGTCATTAATCCTCATATGAAATCTGAAGACCTGCTGAAGATAAGTCTGCACAGGATTTTTTTTAAAAATGTTTCCCATAAAAGCAAATTACAGCATAACCTCAAAAATCCAGAATTCTTGAAAATCCGGCACATCGGGGAGTAGCAGCAGCTGGTCCCGGAGCAACAGAGGGAGAAGCTTGCAAGCGGCAGCTGCCTCCGCTGTCTGCCACGCCATGCTGCCACTCTGCATGCGGCCACTGCTCCGGGACTGGCTGCCACAACCCTTCCAGGCCTCTGGCTCTCTGCCTCTGTCACCGCTTCAGTTTCAAAAATCCGAAATTTTCACGTTTCTGGCAGGTGCTTGGTCCCAAGCATGCCAGATTTATGAGGTTGTACTGTAGTTCTTATTTATCACCTACTATTTCACTCTTCCTCTGCTTTTTATTACTAGGGTTATTTGTAGGCCTGTACAAAGTGGCTAGTATTTGCTTTGTATTTGGATTCAGCCAATTCAGGGGACAGCAATTCAATTCAGTGATTCGAATTGCTGTCCTGAATCGGCCAAATCTCTGAATCAAATAAACCCCAGCCCCATCAATGGCTGCCCCGCCTGGCCCCAGCATCCTGGCTCTTTTTTTTTTTAAAAGCCCCTGCAGAGGGGTGGGACTGGGGATTGGGGGGTGCTCAGGGGGCTGGGTGAGCAGGCAGGGGATGGGGCTTGGCAGGGGTCCCCCCATGGTCCCCTCGTCCCTCCTCGGCCCCCTGCTTACCAGCATGGAGTTCAGGTCCAGCTCCCTGCAGCAGCGAGCAGGGACTGCCCGAAGCTCTCCGAATCTTTTCCGAATCAATTTGGACCTTTTTCTTGGTCTCCCAGTTCAGTTCAGATTTGGCAATTCAGCTGCTGAATCAGGCCAGATCTCCTCTCAATGGAATTAGCACCTGAAGCCTCGCATAGCCCTAGTTCTTTGCCTACAGCAGATTTTTGTGTCTCTGGGCAAATTTCCCTAGTAATAAAATGCAGAAGGAGAAAAAGATTTGAAGTTGCAGAGGCTTTGTAAGTGCTTCCTTAGGTGTTTTAAGCAGCACATGAAATCCATTGTCTTCTGACCACTTTAGTAGTTTATGCAATTGGCACACATGATACTGCCTGAACTCTTCAGGAACTCAGTCTCATTCTGGTTTAACAGTTCTTGTTTAAACTTTGATCCTACTAATTACTCCAGGCTGGCAAACTTCCATCAAAACCAAGAAGTCAGCGCACAGGCACCTTTATTAAATAACTAACTGTATGACACCTTGCTGAACTGGTATCAGTTTTTTGCTCAGATCCAGTACTTGGAGCCACGTTGAGCCGCAGGCAGCACGCAGTAATTTGTGCTGATATCAGGCTATGCTGCACTCACTGAAGATGGTATTCCTGCAGCAGGAATTCACGAACTGGTATTAGAGCTAGAACTCACTTGAACAGTAAGGTCTGTGTAGATCCTGACGTCCTGTGCAGTGTAAGCAAGTAGCTTACTCCATGACTTACTGAAGCTAATGGACCATTCAGGGTTTAAGAAGCTACTCCTTGTGATGCAGAAAGGCAGATTTTGGCTGTAATTGCCTCCCTACCTACTAGTACCACAACCGTTGCATTTTCCTTCCCTGTCTTCTAGTCACGTGCAAGAAACACATTTTGACGTTAGTCAGGCAGCATCTGAAACTTAGTGTAGGGAAAGTATTCAGAATCGTCGACCCTCGTGTATTTAGAATGCAAAACAAATATCTAGATACTACAAAATATAACATGATTTCTTTTCAAGAAACTAATACTTGCATTCTCTTTTTAGGTAGTTCAGCGTGAAGTGATGGAAGTAAAACTACTGAGAGAGCTGACTAGATCATCTCACTTTTTAACAAAATTATGCCTGTGCCAAGGCCTTCGTAAATCTAGACTTCCAACACTAAAACTAAGCGGTGATGCTGAGAAGATACCATACCAAACTCTAGCAGCCAGCCGATGCTTGGACTTGCATGCTCCTGAAATTCCTTCCGTTTGCTTGACAAATCTATGTGCAGGAATCAAGAACTGGCAGATGTCAAGAGGAGATGTAACTATGTCAGAAAAGACTGTGAATCACTGGATTAGGGAGGTGTTGCCCCCATTCAGGGAACATTTTGGTTCTGTTGCACCTATAAACAACAACCCCTTAGGCTGGAGTGCTAAAAAGCTGTTCGAAATTCCAAAAAGATGTTATTCAGTTGTATCAACTGGTCAGACAATACCAAAACAAAATATTGTACCCTCTAAGAGGCCACCAAAGGCACCTAGGACCAAACAGCCCTCCAGATCTACCAAGCCACTGTTTTCTGAAGCTGAGGTAAAGTATAAAATCTGTGTGGTTTGTGTAATACTCAAGAGCATTTTATTTTAGCTTAGACCTGAACTTGTTTTCATAAAAACAAATTGCTGGAGGGAAGGGAATTTATATGTTCACTTATGTGGTTGAAAACATATAGACAGTAGGCCTCTGCAAATTGCAATCCCTGGACACAAGTGGACAGAAAAGTATTGTCTAAAATGAGAGAAATGTACCAACAGAAGAAAACTATATTCTTGAAACTGAATGAGATTTAATGATTTTTTTTTTTTTAAATTGAGTTTAGGTGACCTGCTTCTAACCATGTATGTAATATTGAAAAACGAAATCCACTCTTTAGCATCATTTTTCTGCTTGCCTCAGTGATTAGCTCTCTCCAGCTAAAAGAAGAAACAGAAGAAAATAGAATTAATTCATTTCTAAAATTTTCAGTTCGTTTTCAGTGTTTTGGGGCTTCACTTTGCTGTCCTAGTTTTTAAAGGAATAGCTGCTGCAAGCCAAGCTTCAGAAAAATAGATTATGCTAGAGCCTCTATTTCTAGAAGCCTCCTATGTTTTCCCCTGGTCTGTCCACAGTGATCCTGGTTTTCTCTGATTTTAAAAAAAATCCCCAGTTTTTGATTTAAAAAAAAAAACAACCCCAAATCCAAATTTTTCCATCATTTAAATGAAACTCCATCAACATAGACATATATATAGTGGCATTTCATCATGGAAAAATGTGGATTTGGGATTACTTTTTTTTTTTTAAACTGAAAATTGGGGATTTTTTAAAATCGGAGAAAACCAGGATTCTAGTATTCTGAAGTGGGGGGAGGAGGAAGAAACATGCTCTAGGTATTGTACTAACTGCTGAAACCATCAGGAGTAAGATTGTTGCTCTTGTTTGCTTGTAATTTACAGTTATTGACAGGTAACTTCATACAGGTAATGCCTGTGAAGCTGATAAAATTTATTTAGCAAGTCAGGTGAGTGAACAAGCCAGCTGGAATCAGACTATGAATGGGAGTTGCGTGATTATATCGTACATTCTTTGATATTCTATAGGAATAAAGTTATCAAAGACAATTCTTTGACAACACTTGCCAAAATTTTATAGACAACATTGTTATTTGTTTCGCAACAAATACAAGACCATTTGCCAAAGGTGAACATTTTCTTCACTTCTAAACTGCTTAGAAATTTACATTTGTGTCCTTACTTAAATCAGAGGCAGAAAGGTGGTAATAAATGTGTTGGAAAAGAAAACAGTTTCAATTAATAGGCAAATTATTGGAAGTTTTAATAGGCTTCAATAATTATTTAAACATGCATGCAGTTATTTCTTTCAAGAAACACAATGCTTCTAGGTAGAAAAACCTTTTAAATAGTTCCATCACTGCTGTCATACAGAAGAAAACTTGCCAGGACTGCCAAAAAAACCCCCCAACTATGGGTTCAGAAATCATCCAACTGAAAGATTCAGATTCTTAAGACAGAAAGCTGTTTCTCTTTTATACAAGCTATAGGGGACCAGAGTATTTCCAAAAGAAGGTGTTGGATAGAGCTTGCATTGATACAGCATATCATCTGGGAAGCTTTCTACTGCTAAAATTGAAGTGTTGATGCCAACAAACTATTTGTACTGTTTCTACTTTGCCATTTAGACAGCCTTCTAGGATGTAAATGAGTAAGCTCGTACTGACAGGAACAGACCACGTAAAAGCCAAAATGGAAATGGTATTAAACATTTGTTGACACTGACACTTCCATTTAAATGAATACTGTGGGTAACCTCAGTTTTCAGAATCCAGATATTTAAGGTACTCATTGTTCCAGAAGAATGTAATTTGGGTTATGAAAGCATTAATACCTGGGGTAGTATGCTAGTGCATTTAATTTCTTACACGTTTACTTGGATTTTTCAGTTAATAAATTGACACATGTAGGTGTAGAAACTATCAACAGAGATCTGAAAGTACAGACTGCATTAATGTTTGCAGCTTGAGACATCTTTCTGAGGTAGAGAATTAGTCCTGGTTTACTAATAGGGAAACTGGGGCACTGGTGGAGTGACGTCCCTGAGGTCATACAGTTTGTCTATAGAAAATGTATCCCAAGCTCTTGATTCCTAAGCTTGTCATCTACCCACAAAATAATGCTTTTCTGGATAAATTGGTTGTGCATGAAACTCCTTGGAACAGACAATGCATATCGTCCTAACCTTCAAGGAAAGCAGTTACAGCAGACACTGGTGTTAGTAGTATCCATCCCTCTAGTTATCTCTTGTATCTGATCACCCGGGGGGGGGGTCCTGCATTGTAATACCATCTGGAATGGGACCATCCTTTCATAGGAAGCTCCCACGTTTTAAAATGTACAGATCCTGTCTACTCACGGAAGTTGAAAACTGAGATTTTTTTTTTGCAGAGTTTGCTTCAACGTCATGCAAATGTCAATAAATATTGTATAATTCCTGCCTAGTGGAATGCCCCAGCCACTTTAGAGAGTCCTGGTTTCTCCACTTCTGTCCCTAAACAGTTCTGTGGTATTTCAGCACCACTACTGTAGCCAGCATATATATCCAAAAGTGTTGCATTTAGTTGTTGGATGAACTGAAGTGATTCGTCATATGGTGGTTTATAGATGGCAAATCATAGTGCTTTGAGGTCTATGAAAGGCACATTATAAAATATTAAAACCCCTTAATTTTTGAGACTTTCAAAAGCAGAATATTTATGCAAATAATATGTATTGCCACTGTAATTGGGTACAATTTGTTTTGTCTTTTCAGAATAGAAAGCAGAGTACTAAAATAGGTGTGTACTTTCAGAAGTTGTTTGAGAGATCTTTCGGCACAGCATTTTGCAATCTGCAAACTCGGACTTAATGAACACATGTTCCCTGTTTCAGAGCTGTCTTTTCTGTAATTTTCCTTGGTGCATAGCTCTATCTACAGGAATACTAGTATGCTGTCACTAAGAGGTATACACTGACACAAAGCACTTAAAGCAAGGACATGCAAATTTTTACCACTTTACATACTTCCCTATAGAGACCTAGTACAAGGAATTAAAGACATGACTGAATAAAACTTAAAGACATGACTGATTTCTGCAAGATGACTAACAGACCCAACAAATGAAAAATCCACATTTTTTTCCCTGGTGCCACTTATTGTCTCCCTGAAGTTCTGATCCCTTGAAAAATAAATAGTTGATTCTTTCTGTGCATATCTTAAGGTTACCTGGATCCTTTCAGCCATAGATGCCATATCACTACAGTTGAAAAGAGAATGTTGCTATAAGTGGCCTCAAGAGAGTATATTTAACTATAACTTGCCCTTTGTGATGAGAGCTTTAGTCAGGTAATCCATGAGGGGGTTCCAGTTGTTCTAACTCAGACTAGCTTTGTCTGTCCAGAAGGGCCTGAAGATTTATAGAATCAGGAAACTTTTAGGAAAAAAATGTCTGTGTCATCTTTGCCTGGAGGAGAAAATTTGAATGTTACCTGCACTAGAACTACTACTAAACAGAGTTGGATACAGACAAAAATGGCCAAATATTGCCATAACAAAATGGCAGATTTTTTTGGAGGTAATTAGTTAGATTCAAGGGTTAATCAAAAGTCCTTTGCTGGTTTTGTCAGTGAATTAGTGATTATTGCCATTATGCTTAGCTGCTGCAGCCCAAAGGCACAACACATTTCTGAGCCTAACAATGCAGCCAGTAGGATTCTGAAATCTATTAGATGTGGTGGTTCCTGTATCTCTAGGAGGAGGTTCCAGAGGATAAGTTTCTGCTCCAGATTTTCTGTTTTTAAATGTTCATATCCTCCAGGTAGAAAGACTGGGGGGAGGGCTTCAATTTATAACAGAGGTCCCCTGCTTTGTTATAGCATTGGCTTTTAGTGCTCACCCATCCAACACAGCTAGTTCCATTATGATCAAGTGATGAACCACAGATGGGTCAGGTGCTTAGACTAATCCCTTCTGGTTTCTGAGTCCAGAAAGTGGCTTAGTGACACATGGAAGAAGTCACTGGTACCTACTCTGAATTCCACCAAGCCTGCACCACCAGAAAGGACAAGAGCATAGACTGGGGGTGGGCAATTATTTCAGGCAGAGTGCCACTTACTGAGTTCTGGCAAGTCATTGAGGGTCACATGACAGGCAGCCAGGGGCAGATAAATATTAATTTTTTAGGAGCCCTGTGGGCCAGATAGAATGGCCTGGCAGGCCACATCTGGCCCATGGGCTGCATTTTGCCTACTCCTGGCTTCAACTGTGTCCTTTTGAGCTTTCCAGGTGAAGATAGCCAACAGAACAGCTTCCTACCAAGTGAATCCTGAGGCAGTTAAGGCACTGTGTGCACATAATGGTTTTATATTGCACCAGACTCTCATTTGAAATAGGGATGTGAAAGGTTAAATGACTGATTGTTTAACTGATAGGCTCAGTGATAACCAGTTAGCTAAACATTATTGTTTAGGATGGGACAAGGCTCACTCTGGCAGGGAAGGGAAATTGTGCAGTGCCCCACCAAGAACCAGAAGGTGGCAGGGCAGGCAGGGAGGGCAAGGGGGACTAGTAACCATAGTCTGTGAGGTTAAAGAATAAAACAGCAGGTGACCTAATAACTCAGCAATTAAGTAATTACCTGTTCCTTCACAGCTGTTCCTCCCTCCCAGCAAGGGGCTTCAGATGGGCTGTGTTGTCTGGCTGGGCTTGCCACTGCCTTCCCAGCTGTGTCCTCCATTAACCATTTAACCAATACAATTAGAGGAGGTTAAATGGATAATTTTTTAATGATGTTTACATCCCTGATTTGAAGCTTGTGACTTAATCAGTTATCCTTTGGTGGTGATGGAGCTGCACATTCTGCCAAAATTGCAAATTCAGATGGGAAAGAGTGTGCTGTGGCACACTGCTAAAACACTGACAAGTAACAAAGAACTGTGGAAGACTGAAAAAAACTAGAGGAATGTAGAGGGCTTCTGACTAACTAGATATAACTGATGGAAATAGGGCCCAAACACCTCTCTGTATAAAGTTGGGCCCAAACATTTGTTCCATGAAGGACCATGGTCATATCTAATAATCAAAAATGTCTAGGAACTTCTGGCAGAGATATAAATTGCATGGGCTTAAAGAGTCTGCACTTGTTGCAAGAAATACTCTACTAAAACTTTTTTTTTTAATCTAGCAGTTCTGCTGAAAATGCTTTCCATTGTTAATTCAAGCCTTGCATACACTAGTCATGAAAATGTGTTGGAGCATAGACCTCACTTCTCCTTAGTGTAGTAATGATTTAAAAAATAATGTTTTACTTGTCCATCAAGATAAGCTGTTTGTACTAGATCAGGGGTAGGCAACCCCTGGCACAGGTGCCAGAGTGCAGCCTACGAAGGCATGTCACTTGGCACGCATGCTTTGGTGTAGACAGTGGGGAAGGGGCCTGGGAAGCTGCCCCAACAAGGATTCGGCCCCTCACAGCTCCCCCACCATCTGCCCCTGAGATGCCAACATCTTACAAGTCAAGATTGCGGGTGTTTTTGGCACTCTGCCCAAAAATGTTGCCAACCGTTGTACTAGATGATTGGTGAATTAAAATAAGAGTGAATTTTAAGTTAATCATGATTGAAATACGATTATGCATAATAAAGATGAAGGTTCTGATCAGAAAAATGCTCACAGAAAAGAAAGTTTAATGTACAGATACTGCTTATAACTAGGAATAAGATCTCCTAAGCTAAAGTGATTTGTCAAGCTGCATTAATTTTGGTGAGCACCTGCACCTATGAATAGTTCTCTTACAGTGCATCCATTTTTTTTCCCTGTGGATAGGAAGCCTTTTCTAGCACCATGAAAAACTTGTAGCCAGTATGAGCATTGTGGGAGGGTCCTTTGCATTTGAAAATAAAACATCTTTTGGGTAGGAGTTCTGCCAAATGATTATATTTCTGTTTTTTCTGTGTTTATTTGTTTGCAGTATAGCTCTCTTGGAAATGAGTAGTATTGAGGTCCGTTACTTTCTGAATAGCTGCCATGGTGTTAAAACTAACCAGAAAGTAATGTGTTAACAAGACTGGTAAGGAGAGATATTAGCAACATACAAACAAGGAAGGCAGGATGCAGAGAGGGATAGTTTTTGCAAGTCAGTTTATTGTGACATTTCAGTGGTTTTCAACCTGTGGTCTGTGGGCCCTTGGGGGTCCACAGACTATGTCCAAGGGGTCCATGAAAGATGACTATGATTAATCAAAAGTATGTGATTACCCACACTTACAGTGTGAAGGGGTCCGCAATTCCATTCAAAACTTTTTAGGGGTCAGCAGATGAAGAAAGGTTGAAAGCCACTGACTTCTTCAATTTATCAGGAGGTGTCTTACACTGGTCACAGTCCAGCTGCTTCCCCATGTGTCTGCTTCATCCATAAGTCTGTGACAGTACTCTTTTTACATCTGTTACACTGTGCCTGTAGTTTTTCCTCAATCTGGTATTTTAGATGCTTATATGTAAGGTACTTTTTTATTTTGAGAAATTATAGCAGCTGTTTGCTGTTCTTGATTAAGCACTGTGGAGAACACAATGCTGTTGCATGCCTACCATGACCTCTTTGCAAGGGAAAGCCTGTACTCACTTCTACAGCTGGTCAGGTCTTTTGTCTGGTGCAAGGCAAGTATATGGCCCAAACTGCACTTCAGACACTCTGGAGGGTGGCTTACATCCTGGGAATTGCAAGTATGAAAGAGGCTTCATGCTCAGAAGCATATGCAGTCTGCAGTAGCAGCTGTCTCTTGGTGGGAGGGAACTACCCCTCACCTTGGGGCCTTTGTCTTTCGCCACTGATGCCAGTCACTTCTTTGAAAGCAGGGTTAGGCCTTAAGCCAGAGGTGGGAAAAGTCCAGCCCCCAGGTTGGATCTGGCCTGCGGCAAACTCCATTTCCCAGCAGCCCCTGCTACCCAGGCACCCCAGCTCATCTGCCCACCTTTGAGGGTGGGACCTGCACAGGAAGGGCACATAGCCAGGCAGCTGGAATGGGGCTGCAACTGGAAGTGAGGTGGGCAGGTGGGGCTGCTGGCCAGATCCACCATTTTGCCCATCCCTGACTTACTACTGCTGCCACTTTCTTACTGGGATTAAGACAGGAAGGATGGTCTTGCTGTTAAAGTACCAAACTGGCATTCAGGAGATCTGGGTCTGCTTAAGGGGTCTTTCTGTGACTTAACACCCCTTGAGATACTTCTTCATCACCCATCTGTAAAACGGATGGTTGTCAAACCCTGTTTTGCACCAAAAGGTGAGATTCATTAGTATTTGCAAGGCACGTGGCTCTCACGGTGATGAGTTGTCATAGAAAAGCTAATAAATAAACAAATGTCAGTGTGTGCAACTAAATAGGGTACAGAGGTAAGCATATGTCTTTTAAATGTGTGACTTCGACCTTTCCTTAATCCAGGGTTGTATTCCTTCCATACAGGATCAGATGCAGTGCATAGCCTATGCAACAGCAGATGAGTATCATCTTGGTAATCTGTGTGAGGACCTGTCTGCAGAGGGATATATTGAAATAAGTCTGCCTAAAGGTAGAATTTTCAACCTATTATGACATGTTACCTTATATTGGGACACAACACGTGGGAATATATAGAAAGAGTCAGTTTCAGTAGTAAATTTCTAAACTTTATATATACTGTATCTCTGATATTTGCATCATGTGCTACCTCTCAACTATATTGCCTTCTCTGAAAACTCTGTTAAAAAATACAGAAACCACATTTCCAACACTTGCTAATGCCCTGTGGTTTTCAAGAATATGTATGAAGCTGGTTCAAAAATGAAGTGTGTACCCTAAAAGCTGATACAAAAAGAAATCATTTTGAAATCTTCTTTTGATTAAAAGAACTGTATGGGATCTTTCAAATGGAAAGTTTTTGTTATATTTCAGAACAAAATGTGTGTGTTAAAAAAGTATTATTTTAGTGTGTTCTCCTTTTCTAGTCTTCTCGTTTCTCTCTCTTTCCAGTAGAAATAAGGGGAGCATGGAGAATTGTATGTTTTCCTACTTTATTTTTTGCATTGTGCATGTGTATTTCCACACTGTTATTTATTTATTTTCTTTTACTGTATCCCAACTTTGGGCATTTGGGAAAGAAAGACAAAGTGGTAAAAGTATTACTTCCACTCTTAGGATTTTCAGATTCTTTTCAAACTTTCTTTCCTAATTGGAAAAGGTCGTGGGAGAGCCCACTATCTCCAACACCTGTCAAGGCAGCTACCTGCTGCAAGAAATTTCTCACTGAGGCATTTTCTCTAGTCATTGCTACACTTCTTGCCACTTCTTATGTTGGCCCTACATATTTAGTAATTTTTTCTAGCCACAATCTCTATATAATGAGGAATTTAAGATGTGTCCCCTGAGTATTACAACATGGTTCTAGAGTATTTGTTCTCAACTCTTCTAGACACAAGGCACCCTTCAGGGAATGCCAACTCTTATTTTCACTCTTTTTTTGCCTTTGGGATTGAGCATAAAATTCCTCAGAGCCTAATCTCATCACTGCCAAGGCATGGAGCTGGGGATCGGGAGCTCCCTAATCCCCAGCTGCACACACGACAACAGGCTCCCCCACTCCAGGGAGACAAAGCCCTGCACTGTGGGACAGGGTCCAGGAAGCTGGACTGCCTCTGCAGAACTGGGCATGTGGCAGGTGTGTCTTGGACCCTAGCATTGGCCCCTTTCTCATACTGACAAGCAACTGATTGTTGGCATTGGGCAGGGGGCAGCCTTAGGTCTGGATAACATGCCACACGTTCATTTTAAAGCTGGACAGAAACCAGCCACAGAGATATTACATATTTAACATGGAACATATCTGTGGCCATTTTATTGCACCATAAATTCCCTGAATGTGTGGCATGTTACATTTTATCATGTGACTGTGTTGACTGCACAAGAAATATAACATCTGCCAGGGGCCCTTGTGAGAGTGCCCAGGAACGACTCCTCAGACCAGTGGATGCTGTCCAATGTTCTCTGCTTCGTTTCCTCATTTTACACCTGGGCCTTCTTTCTGTTCTTGTTGTATTACCTGGCATCCACAATCAGTTCTCTTGAGTCCTATATGCTATTTTCAAAAGCACTCAAAGATTCAAAAGGAAATTAGATGGAACAGAATGAAGAATTAAAATCTGGATTGTGTGGGTCACTTCAGAGCACCCCTAAAGTCTTTTATATTGTACTTTTTTGCATAAGTTTGTGTCCTGAGAATCATTTCCATTAATAGAACAAATATACAACTTGATTTGTGGAAGAATTCATAGATAAAAATGATTTATCTGGAATTAAGTAAAGTTTATCGCTAACTTGTTTAAAATACAAGAAATGCACTTCCTGTATTTTAAAGTTGCTATCCCCTCCATTTATTTTTAAACTAGATGCAGCAAACATTTTGGTGATTGGCACAGAAAACTCTGCAAAAGAATACGATTCTGGAATGATCTTTTTATTCAGGTAAGTTGCAAACCAAGCCTATAACATATGATACATACTGATTTAGTGAGCTATCTTTCTTTAAAAAAAATAAAATGTGTATTTTCCGCTGAAGTTGAAGGAAAAACAATTCAAGCACTAAAATATTTTAATTATTCTAACTTTAAAACTATTTTTCCTTTTTGTGGTATTAAATTAACTAGTGCCAAAAAACCCACCATTAATGGGGCCTTTTGAAGTCCAGTCATTATAATTTTCTTGATTCACTGTAGCAGAATTGCCTGTGCACAAAATGAATGTAGGTTTAACATCCAGAAACCAGTGTAATACGCCTAATTCTTCGTTCCATTCTGTTAACACAGGGAAGGGTCTGTCGTGTTTTGGAATGTGGAAGATAAAACTGTAAGTAGAGAGCTGCATTATTTCAGATCTTGTGAAAGCAGATTAAGGTGAAATTCTTGTCAGTTCCAATGCCTAAGTAGTTGGATTTTGTATAGGTGGTCTGTGGAGGCAGATGGAATATTAATCGGCGCTGGCGGCTTGCTGTCTCATACGCTCCTTAAGTGTGGATTGCTTATATAGCAGTGTAATGTTAAGAAACAAATAATTATTTGGCATATAGCACTTGTCTGGTTTACTACTCAACTCCACTAGCATGACATTGCAAGGCACTGTGCTGTGCCATTCTTTGCCACATGCCTTGTGCAGATTTTTTATGTTAATTAAAATGAACTAGAAGTAGAGATAAAATGCTACCTTTCTGCTCTGTCAGAAAGGCAGCACCCACTTTCCCCCAATATAAAGGAACAGAAAAACAAGGGATTAGGTCCATTGTATCCATTACTTGGAAAGGCTGTACAATGTGATCCAATAGCAGCACTCTGAATTCCAGAAGCTGCACCCGCACTACAGCTTAGGGGGAGGAGCCTGGGGGAAGCGGCAGCATGGATTTAAATGTATTTAATGTAGTTTAAATATGACACAGGCACAGAGAAACCCCACTCCACTGACACAATGCCAAAGCCACCTGACCTGGGAGGACAGAGAGAAGAGGCATGGGCAGAAGTCCCAGGCTTTTTAAACAACTTCAGCAGGCAAATTGCCTTAATTTAAATTGTTACATACATGAAGACACAAGGGGACTGTGCAGTGTTTGCTACCATTATAATATGCAGCTGCCTTTATTTCTAGGTGAAAAACATAATGCGACTGCTAGAGCGGCATGAAATTCAGCCTTATGAAATTGCACTGGTCCACTGGGAGAATGAAGAGCTTAACTACAGGAGAGGAGAGTAAGCATTCTTAGCAACCTTTACACATAAGTTAATAGATATTCAGAAGAGATGACTGAAGGGAAAAGCAGCTAGTATAAAAACCTCTTTAGTCACTCTCTAAAGTAGTAAAATAAGGTATTTCAAGAAGAAGAAAGTAGGGGCTACAAATGCTAAACCCAGAAGGTCTTGATGAACTTCTATGTTCATAGCAAGCATTTCTTTTAAAAATGGCTTTGTGGTATTAGTGGTGATTTTGATTATATACTGCAAGAGTTGGCAACATGTGACATGCAGAGCCCCAGGACTTTGCCTATGCTAGTACCAGTGCCCAGGCTAAGCAGTGAGGAACTTCATCGGAGCCAGGCAACATTATGTTGCACCTTTGCCACCCCTACTCCATAGCTCCCCAGTCCAGCTATGGCACAGGCTTAGCTTCCAGTCACTGGGGAGCTGTGTTGGGGCTGGGCAGCTGGAAACTGCGTCCACACAGCTGCTACTTCTACCTTCTTTCTCCACCTCTCCTGCCGCTAACTTAGTTTTACAAGCTCCGCATCTGCACAATTAAAGGTCCTTTTTAACAGTTCCAAATGATTAAAAAAAAATTCATACAAGCACTTCCTTATCTTGGCTGCTTGTTAAATTACATCTTAATTAATGATCTGAAGTTCTTGCAGAGAGAGGTCTCACGGTAGAGGTCAGTGCTGATTCGTAGAATAACACACCCTTATTTATTGGAAGTAGCAGTATTTTGGTAGCACCAAAAGTCCCTAGTCAAAGACCATGTCCCATTGTGTGAGGAGCTATGTAGAGAACAAAAAGACCATCTATGCCCCAGAGAGTTTGTAAGTGCTCTCTTCTGTAAAATGCCAGTATTTCTGGCTCATGGAAAAATGAGCATGACATAATGCTATAGAATTTGTAACTGCAGATTTGTTTCAGAGGCTTGGGGGATTTTTTACTATTGCCTTCAGCTGTGTTTATATTAAAATTTTCCCAAACTCTGAAGTGGGACTTTTAAAGGAGCACCTTAAAGCTTGCAGGATTCACATTTCCATTCTGTTCCCTGAACACTAAAGTGTTTTAGGAAGAACACCCCAGTAGCAGCATGGAAGGAGCTTGGGGTTGGGCAGGGTACGAGCCTGGATAGCAGGAAATAAAGAACAACAGGAACAAAGAAGCAGAACCAGAGTGAGGCCAGTGGAAGGAGAAGCAAGTGGAAAGAAGTCTGACTTCCATAGTCCTCTGTTGTTCTGAATTATCTCATTTGTATAGTAATGCTGCAGCTGCCATGGGGAAGTAGTTCTGATTTACTACTCTTGCAGATACTGTGGCTGAGCCCTGAAGCAGTGGCTTTCAGTATCCTTTTTTGTAATTTGAGTCATGACTAAGAGGGAAATCCCAAGTGATTGTGGAAGGGCAGTTGCACAGGTTGTTCCATCTTGTGTTTTAAAGAGATGCATAGGTCATTCCCTTTTGTAAAGGACTGTACCTTGACTGTTCCTTTTAGTAGTGGCTTAGTCATTGAAGAGGTCTTAATCCTGTTTTCACAGGGGGCAGTCAAAGCTTCATAGAGGAGAAATCTTGTTAAATTCTGATCTGAGTACTGATGAAGATATTCTGGAGAAATTTGCTTTTTCAAATGCTCTTTGTCTGTCTGGTAAGTTAAGGTTATATGTTGTGTCAAGTTTCATGCACATGGAGGGGAGGAGGAGGAGGGGAAAGAGAGGATCACATTTATCAAGTGGTGAATGTCTGTTTTCCAATCTGGGTATTTGCCATTTTTTATAATAAGAAGTGTGCACGTAAGTTGCCTGTGGCTCGAGTAGAAGAGAATCAGTGCCATAGTTTATAACATGTGCTTTGTAAAAAGAGCCCTGCTTCAGTTGCTATGTACATCTTCTGAAAGACTGCCAGTGTGCACAAGACAGCATACCTCTTTTTACCATGTTTTCTTCCCTATTCTCTTTCTCAACCGTACTCTTCAAGCACCTGGTTAGCAACAGCTGTAGTCTCCAAGTCTGGAATCACTACCAGTCATCTTGGATAACATACCAAAATAGTATTGCTAGTAGAGAATGCTGTATCCATACAGCAGCAGCTTATAACCTGATTCTTTTTTCCCCCACAGCTATTTTTAGGGAAAATTGCTATGTAGGGCTGTTTTTAAGGAAGAGCTGTAAATGTAGCATTGATATCAGTTGAGAGAAACATAGGGAAACTGCCTAACTTACTCAAAGAGCAAAGTACAGTTCTATAGCTCAGAACCTTTGGCTTTCATTACTGACATCCAATTTTAAGACTATGCAGAAAAGCCTGTAAAGAAGATTAGTTTTCAGAAATTCTCCTGTTCACAAAGCAGCCACATAAAGAAAATTGCTATGAGGCATATTGGAGGCAGTGTTGGTGTCAACATACAACACTACAGAAGTATTCCTGAGAGTTCTTTACTACCATGGACTACCACTGATGTTTTATACCTTGTAAAACTGGACCTTAAAAAAAGCAGGCAGCAGTGCTCAGTAATATTTTTGCAAATGGATGGGCGAGATGGGTTGCAGTTAGACACATTTAAGACATGGGAGAACTTGGAATTCTCAAATCAACAGTCATTGTTGGAATACTTCTCTGCTTCTTTGAAAAAGATTACCATATTTCACAGTGTATAGGTCAACCCAGAAAACCGGTGCGAAAAGTTAGGATTAGGACAGGCACAGTGTATAAATTGGGGCTGGGCTCCACGCTCAGCTGGCACAGCTCCATCTCCTGCAAGTGGCGCTGCCTGGGCCGCACCAGCTGAGACCAGCCCTGTCCCAGTCCCCATCCCCTGCAAGCAGCACGGCCGAGTGCCAAGCTAGGCCTGTCTCCTGTGAGCTGGCGCTAGAGCCAGCTGCCTTCCCCACCTCTTGCCTGTGCATGGTGGTGAGGAGCATGGCCTGCCCACCTCACCTCTGTTGCGCCACTTGGAGGGGCCAGGACCAGGCGTGGTGCTTGGCTGGTACAGCCCAGGCAGCACTGCTCACAGGGGCTGGAACCAGTGCTACCCAGGCTGCACCAGCCAAGTGCCAATCCCAGCCCTGGCCCCTTCAAGCAGCACAATAGAGACAGGCCAGGCAGGCTGTGCTCCTTGCCACCATGCACAGGCAGGGGACAGGGAAGGCAGCCAGCTCCAGTGCACACGGCTTACCCCAGTGACGCACAAGTGCCAACAGAACTGTGCAGCACGGGACAACAGCAACTACATGTGCCACAAGAGCCCACCGCCTGCTGGTTGCTGTGAGCCATGAGGGGGGAGTGTGTGGGGGGTCCTCACACCTCACACATCCACATCCTGCCCACCCACGCTCCTGTCACCCTGGAGCACAGGCTTCATGCTCACGCCAGCCTCCGCCCCACACTCTGCACTGCAGCTCCTCCGTCCCTGCCGCTTCCCTACCTGATGCCCCAAGCACTGCACCAGGGGGACAAGGAGCTGCTGGATGCTGGGCAAGCCAAGTACCCCAGTGGCTGCAGCAGTGGCAGCAGCAGCCCTGCCCAGAAACTGCACTGGCTGGGACAGGCCCTGGATACAGTATATATGTCAAGGTAGAAATTTAAGGTTCAATATTTGAGCTTTAAACCTGGACTTATACACCGTGAAATACAGTATTTTTAAGGGCTTGATGCGTTTTCTATTAAAGTTGAAAGGGTCTCATTGACTTGACTATAAAATGTAGTAACTGAACCCAAAAAGTACTTGATATTGTGTGGTTTCGAAGTAAATTCATATAAATTCAGGCTTAATGTGCTAGTGATACTTCAACTCTTTGTCATTTATATCAGAATGGTGGCCTGCAAGGGGTGAAGTTACAGCCCCCAGGCTCCTGCCCAGGCACCACTCCCACCACTCGGCTGCTGCAGCTGGGTTCTCAGGGCTCCCCCTCCCTCCTTGGTTTTTTGTTACCTGTTGCTGCCCCTGGGAACGGGTTAGCAGGACCTGTGGGACAAGGAGTGCAGTATTTGGGGACCTGGAAGCCTGGCTTAGTGGGGGGAATCCAGGAGAGACCACACGTTGAAGGGGGGGCAGGCCAGGAGAGCCCACAGGGCAGGGGACTGGGAAACCTGCTTGGTGATGGGAACCTGGGGGAGTGGGGGAGCCCACTGCCTGTGCAAGTTTCCCCTGTGCAATGTGCAGCCCCCAGCTGCTGATTGATATCATTGAATTAATCGGAGTACATGTTTTGTATAATGAAATCTAGAAACACTGGCAAATGAGCCACTGTGTTTAATGATTATTTGAAATCAGAGAGAACTCATGAGATGTTCTTCTTTGTTAACTTTCTGCTTCAGTAAAGCTGGCAATATGGGAGTCATCTTTGGACATGTTTGTGGAATCTATCCAGTCAATTCCTGAGGTGAGGCATTTCTTTTTTCGGTGTGGTTTGTGTTTCCATTCTTTTCTTCCCCAGTTCTTTATTAAAGATCAATAGGCCCTGACAGATATAGGGTGGCAATTTGTCCTGTTTTTAAACCTTTTGTCTCCTGTCCATTTCTAAATGAGGAACAGACTGCAGAAAGTCCTACTTTTCAGTTCATTGGTGGAAATACATGTCAGTCCTTTGTCCCCGCAATTCTGTTGGCTGTGGCTAGAGGTAGGGCGGTGCATAGCCAGGAGGATGGGGGTTCTGAGCAGGGGGCAGGGGGTGATTTTTTTGTGGTGGCCATGCCCCTGGCTGCTGATCTGCTGAGGGGCTTAGTGGTCTGACCCATCCCTCTTCCCTTCCTGCCACTGCCACCAAGGGGATGTCCTGTATTCTGGGGATGTGTCAGTGGCCACCCTAGGCAGTTATTGGGAAATTATTTGAATAGTTCATAGATTTGACTGCAAAGCCAAAAGCAGGTGTGAAAGCTCAGGACATCAACCATTGGTGATATAAGAAAGGATGTTAAAAGGTGTTTTAAACGAAGATGGTTGTCTACACCAGTATTTCTCAACCCATGGGTAGCAAGAATATGTGAAAGGGTGACAAACAAATCAAGGCTACAGAAGACTGAGTTCCCAGAGGAAACTAGCAAATAGTAAATAGGCGGGACAGGAACAGATAAAATGCTGGGCCTAGGCACACCACATACGTTACACAAATATAGTTACTTATGAAAATAAGGAGCAAATGTGTGATGTAAACCCCTGTGCTAGGGTATCTTTGTGTAATCTAGCAGTGAATACTCAAAAGAATCAGGTAAAATTCCACCAGTGTAAGTTTGCATTTTCTCAGTACAAACAGGCTATTATGGTCCTACCCTGCCAGCTAGTGGTGAGACTTGGAAATAGTAGCTTACGCTTTGGTACCTTAGTATAAACTGCTTCTCTGTGCCAGCGGTTCTCATTTTAGACTCAAAGCACCCCTCGGAAAATGCTAGCTCTTAACTTTCACTCATTTTTTACTACAGAAAAACAATAGAGCAATTCTTCTGTTGCAAAGAAAAAGCACAACAGGTCATGATGTTTTATAGATTCATAGATTGTTAGGGGCTGGAAGGGACCTTGCAGATCAGTGGGTCCTGCCCACCCCATTCTAGGCAGGAAGAGTGAGGTGACTGTCCAGTCTCCTCTTGAAAACCTCCAAGGTAGGTGAGTGCACCAGCTCTGGAAGGAATTCACAGTCTGAAGCGGCCTTCCAGGAGTTTGTATCCATTGCTCCTGGCCTTCCCCAGAGGTGCCCTAGTGAACAGTTGTTCACCGAGCTCCTGATGAACTCCTCTGATATAACAGTAAGCCACTATCAAGTCCTCTCTCAACCTTCTCTTCTTTAAGCTAAAGAGGCCCAGGTCCCTCAGCCTTTCCTCATATGGCTTGTCTTGCAAGTCCCTGATCATATGAGTAGCTCTTTTCTGGACCCTCTCAAGTCTTTCCATGTCGTTATTGAAGTGCGGCGCCCAGAACTGGACGCAGTACTCCAACTGCAGTCTCACCAGTGCTGAGTACAGCAGGAGTATCACTGCCTTAGTTTTACATGAGATGCATCAGTTAATGTATGCCAATGTGTTGTTTTCCCTGCTGGCCACTGCCTTGCACTGGCAGCTCATATTCATGCAACAGTCAATCATTACCCCTAGGTCCCTTTCGGCCGTGGTGCAAGTCTAGCTGTCACCACCAAGCCTGTATGTATGTTGAAGTTTTTTTTGTCTCCAGATGGAGCACCTTACACTTGGAAGCGTTAAACTTCATCTGGTTCTGGTCTGCCTAACTCCTGGGTCTGTCCAGGTCTGCCTGTATCTGCAACCTGTCTTCTGATGTGACCACACTGCCCCGTAACTTGGTGTCGTCCGTGAATTTGGCCAGCAAGCTTTTCACTCCCCCATCCAAATCATTGATAAAGATGTTGAAAAGCACCAGTCCAAGCATGGACTCCTGAGGAACACCACTGGCCACTTTGCACCAGGACGACACAGATCCATTCATGAGAACTCTCCGGGTCCTACTGTGCAGCCAGTTTTCCACCCACTGACCCATGGAGCAGCTGAGCCCACAGTCTTCCAGTTTTCCTACAAGGATATCATGGGATACTAGATCAGAAGCCTTTTGGAAGTCTAGGTATATAATGTCTGCCTCATCTCCCATGTCGAGGTGGCGAGAGACCTGGTCGTAGAAGGAGATGAGATCGGTAACATAAAACCTACCTGCAACAAAGCCATGCTGGCTGTCATTCAGAATCTTACCTTCCACGAGCATATTGCACATACATTTTTTAATGATCTTTTCCAGGATTTTCCCTGGGATGGCCTATAGTTGCCCAGGTCCTTCCTCTTCCCCTTCTTGAAGATGGACACAATGTTGACCCTCTTCCAATCCTCAGGAATTTCCCATGCCCCATGAATTCTGAAAGAGCTTTACCAGGGTTTCTGCAATGACTTCAGCCAGCTCCTTAATACTCTCAGATGAAGTCCGTCTGGTCCTGCTGACTTATAAATGTCTAGCTTTTCTAACTGGTATTACACCCACTCAGCATCCACAGTGGGGAGGCTGTCATTCCTGGCATGCCCCCTGTGAGCCTTATCTCACTTGTCTTTCCCTTTGGCCAGGTGAAATACTGAAGCAGAGTAGGCATTCAGGAGTTCAGTTTTGTCCTGAATGTTTCTGTGTAGGTATTTGCATACCCAACACAGCTAATACTTTACAGCACCCTGCAACAACGTTAAAAGGATCTTGGAGCATCCTGTTTGATATCCATTGGTTCTATGCATTTGGGATTCTGTTATAATTTATATTGATGTAAAAAATTATGTAAAATTCCACCAGAGCAAATGTGTCATGTATCCAGGCCCCCAGTGTTGATAAATGCAAGGTAACAAGAGAAGAAATCATTTGAACTCATAGGGCATGTCCCCACAAGCAGAAATGTGCGTTTCCCCAGGGAGAAATACCAGGAGCACATAATTGACCCTGGGCACACCCCTGCACATTTGCTCTGGCGCACAGCAGATTGCCCTGGGTGGGGTAGGTAGGCTGGGTCCAGTACCTGGGCTGGCCCCAGCAGCCTTTGATAGGTTCTGGAGGTCTTCCAGGGCTGCAGCAGCAGCAACTCAGGCACACAGAGCCAGGCTGGCAGCTGGAGTGTGGCTCTGGCTGGCCAGGCTGCTGTTGCCGGCAGTGCATGCTGCAGTGACATATGCCACCCTGCTTTTTTCTGTTGCGGGTTTTTTAGGTACTGGGATTTCCTGTTATCTAATTTTGCCGCTGCACTGCAAATATGCAGCATAGCGAACAGAATCACTTGTGCCGCATGCATTCCACGGTGCCTCAGAAGGCTTTGACACACCGCAAACCGCACATTCTTGCTTGTGGGGACACGGCCCATGTACTTTACAGAGGGTAAAGAGCTTGTGACTTTTTAACTAAGCTTACATAAAACATGGCTAGTAATGTTTTATGACTAATACCATTTTCTACTCTGCAGAAACTAAAATCAAGAAAAAAGGTGAAACTCTCTCATGCTGATGTAATGCAAAAAATTGGGGAACTCTTTGCCTTAAGGTAAACTCTTTTACAAAGAACCCCACATTTTTTTTCGTTTTATTTCTAAAGAAATCTACTGTCCTAGTGCCTGGAAAGTATACTACACCTTGAGTGCATCTACACATGCAGTTAATTCAACTGAATAAACTCCAGCACAGTTTGTGCCATAGCTTGTTGCTCCCAGGCACCGCGTTTACAGATGCATCTGGGCCTCCAGCATGTTGAGCTGGGTCAAAACAGCCCTGGCTGGCTGTAGAAGACTTAGGGAAGGTTGGTTTAATTCAGAGACTGTTATAGGACAATAAGAGTTTAAGTCTCTGCTCTAACCCAGTAAATGGTAACTTTTTATGCTCTTATTCTTCAAGTTAATAGAGAAAAGAGATAACACCTTTTGTGTAAGCCTTAGGTTTCATATCCCTATCTTGAACCTGAAGGAGCCTGTTTGAGTGGGCTGGAAAGAAACTAAAAGTTAATGATCCTGAATGCCACAAGGTGGGAGGTTTGAATGACATCTGAACTTTATATACTGTTCAGAGAAAACATCCCAGGCCTGAAGAGGAGCTGGTTTTCTCGTTCTAGTGATTCCAGTATTCAACACTTATTGGGATCAGGGCTGAACATTCTGATATCAAATGTTTGTTTGTTTGTTTGTTTGATATTGCAGTGGGGCAGGTGACTCATTCATAAAGGTCTCCTGATTTTCAGTATCCTGTGAAGAAATGTAAACTGTGCGTATATCTGTATGTGCTTTCCTGCAGAGTAGACTAATTAGTAGCACAGTAAAGCATCACACATGTATTAGGGTTCAGTAAACTAATTAATTCCACCAGAAGATAGCCAGGGACAGTAATATATTACAGCAGAGTAATTAACTACAATGAAACACATGTGTAAATGCTGAGGACATAAATGGTGCGCAGTCAGCGCAACCAGCGGGGGGTGAGACTCCTCCTACCTGCCAACTAGCCACATGGCTTCACACTTCAACACCATTGTGCCCCAGCCAGCCCCTCCACTGCTGTGCCACCACCTGGAGCCCAGGGCTGATCCCCATGTCCCCTGCCAGCCCAGGCTTTCTCCACTACAGCTCAAATTGCTGCTGCCCCAGGTGCACATGTAGATTTTGTGCCCAGGAGCAGTTTACTCCAGTTCAAACCTGCTCTGGAGTTTATTGCTTTGCATTTAAGTGTAGGTGTAGATGCACCATTTGTTTTAAATTTGGTTTAGTATCCCTCAATTACTATTTTCTGTAGTGGATGAGGTGATATACTTTGTGCAGCCATATCCAGTTTCCTTTAAATAAAAGAAACCCCATAGCAATTGGTAGAAAACCAAGTAAGCTTTAATTGCTTCTCTGAAATAACGGTATAAAAAAATTGATTCTGTAACCACTGGAATGACTTTGAAGAGCTGTATCTGTCCTTTTTCAGACATCGTATAAATCTGAGTTCAGATTTGCTGATAACTCCTGACTTCTACTGGGACAGAGAGCACCTGGAGCAGCTTTATGACAAAACCTGTCAGTTCCTCAGTATTGCTCGCAGAGTGAAGGTAGGTCTTCTGCTAATCAGATATCCATAAGAACTCATGATCTTCCAGCCTAGCTTATGTTGAGCTAGACTACTCCATCACTTTTAATAAACTTGCCTTTCTCTACAGAAGTAGAAGTGGAGAGTATATTTTTAAGTTTTAAATATTTTTAGTGGAAAAGTTGGTCGGCATAAGTCCTTCCACCCTCTTCTGAGTTAGTGACTTTGGCATTTTTGCTGTGACAGCTGTGACTCCTCTGTATTTTGGCCACAACAGCCAGCCTTACTTACAACCTTATATGTACAAGCACATTTTTTTCTGAGTCAATAAATAAGATTTTGAATAGATCTAACAAGTCATCTTTTTTTGTTCTAAACTACAGAAGTGAAGTAATTTTTCCTTGCTTTCTGGAGCTTTGCCATGTGTAAAGACTTAAAGATGCAGAATGAGTTGAGACAACCAGTAGAAACAACATGGTCCCTTTAATTAATGCAGATAGGGAAAGAGTTCCATTTATATTTTAATGAACCACTAGAATGAGTGGTATTCATTAGCAGCATAAGCATGTGCCCTAGCTTAATCCAGAGGTCAGCTGCCATCAACTTCATTAGAAGTTACATGCTACTGTATTTATATTAGTCAGAGCCAACAACAGAAATAAAAGTGAATGAGATGCAATAGAAAGCATAGCAAGGTTCTTGTTGGCATTGTCCCTTAAGAAAAGGAATCAAATACCTACAAGCATTTTGAAGGTACTTAAATATTGGAGTTAGTTGCTTGTGGGAGTTTTCTTTTTATTATTGTTTTTCTTTATGAATAATCCAGAAAGAATCCTACTGGACCCCTGTAAGCTACCTGCTAGAAAATACTGGTCTCTGCTGCTTAATAAAAAGACAGTTAATCACACAATTCTATATCCTATGGCAAGGGTCAGCAACACTGGCCTGCAGGTCATATCTGACCCACAGAAAGACCCAGTCCGACACACGAGAATCAGTCTCACATAGCTGTCACCTCCATTTTGCATTGTTTCCCTCTGCTGTGGAGTCTGCTGCTCCAGCCTGTGCCAACAAAAGGCTGTTGGCCCCATCTGGTAACATGTTGATTGGTATAGGTCTAGCCGTATTCCCTGAAAACTTTTTTCAAAGTAATGCCCAGAAAGTGCAACTTTCTGTACAACAATAAAGGTAGAGTTGCTGGCCAAGACCTTTGCATTTTTTTAAACTAGAAGACAGGGATGACAGCTGAGTATACTTCTAGGATGACCCTTTACTCAAAGTACCTTTCCATTGCTCCCTTTCTGAATGCTCCAGAGATATGCTAAATACTTCTGTTTATCAGCTGCCATAACATCACTTGGGGAAAGTGGCATTATTACAATAGTAATAACTCAAACTACTTCAGAATTTTTTGGTCAAAAGAAATATCTGAAATTTCACCTGGAACATAACTGGAGGGTAATGCCATTTTCCCTGTAAAGGCTAGTCTTACAAATCAGGCTTTTTTTACCTTGCCTTTAAAATTTAAATTAGAGTATAGTATTTACAGAAATAAATAAAAATTGGATTTATTTTAAAATTAAACACTAAACTTAGTATTATTCTAATCAATATGATGAAGTTAATGTTGTGTTTAGATTAGGAGGGTCTGGAGCATTCTGTTTTTTCCCAGTTGATCAGAAACATCTGTGCTTCATAAGTTGAGGCATTTGGTCCATTTGATTGGTGTTTGCACATCAGCATGCAGAAACAGTTCTGACACCACCTGAAAGGTGTGCACGTTTCTTTTTTTAAATACACTGGTTATTCTAAGTTGTGCTTCCTTGCATTTTCAAGGTTTTAAATTAGATGATTTAACACCATTCAGTTGAGTTCCTGTGAGCCTGCATTTTTATTAAATAACACTTTCAGTCTTCATGTAACCTGTTAAATGAATCAGAATGTCTTTAATCAAAAATCTTGATTTGTACTTAGAGGCCCTCTAGTTCTTTTGCAAGTTAAGGTGTTTGGTATCCTGGTAGCTAAGCACTAGGATTGATTGCATAAGTTAGAAATACATTAGACAAGGGCTTGTATGGGATACATTATGATGGGGATGACCCTGCCTTGAGTAGGGGACTGGAACAGATGCCTTCCAGAGGTCTCTTCCAGCCCTACTCTTTTATAATTGACAGCTTCAATTAGTAGAAGTCAGGTTCAGTTAACCCTTTTCTGGTTTGTGCTAGCTTTCCTTAATGATTTCATAGAATCATAGAAATGTAGCATTTGAAATGACCTTACAAGGTCATCTAGTCCAATTCCATACTCAAGGCAGGATCATCTTAGACAAGTGGTCTAGCCTGCTCTTAAAAGCTTCTAGTGATGGAAACTCCACAGCCTCTAGGGAGCCTGTTGTTATGAAATCAGGATGAAGAATCTGCAACCTCTCTGGGAAGTACTACATCTGTTCAACTTAAGTTCTCCATATACCTGAACTGTTGAATTAAAATCCCCCTTTCCTGCAACAGGTAATGAATGAGAAACTGCAACATTGTATGGAGCTGACAGACTTGATGCGCAATCACCTGAATGAAAAGCATGCCCTGCGCTTGGAGTGGATGATAGTCATACTTATCACCATAGAGGTTAGTTGGATATTCAATCACCAAGCTTCTCAGCACCACCCTGCGGAACAAAATAATGAAGCTCTGTGATTCCAAGAGCTATACTCTTGCAGGGATGTAAATTCAGCTTTATGACTTATAGGGAATGATTTGGAAAAAATCCTACGACGTTACTTTTCTGTAGCTTGCTGTACATGGCAATAACTCTTCACTAGTTATTTTATGCAAAATCTTAAAGTTTTTTCTTCTTCTGGGTTGCCATTATAGCCAATTTTTTAAGATAATCTGGATGCTTTCATCTTATTCTTGTAATGTTAAGGAGAATTCACAGTGTACAACTCTTTATTAATAACCTAATTATTCCACAGGTCATGTTTGAACTTGTCAGCAGAGTTTTCTGACCAAAGTGGAAGCTAAGAATTTTGAAAAATATGACAGGATTTTGAAGATCATATTCAGAACTGAAAAATCCTTTCCCCCATCTCTAGTGTCTGTATATTTCTGAAAAACTTCTGTACTCACTTTCTAAATATATGCCTGTATATCTGCTTTTTCAATAAAAAATTGAACTTAATAAATGAATATCATGTTATGTCACCTACTAATATAAGATTTCATAGTAGGCTAGATCTGTTCAGGTCCCTCCTGACCCTAGCTGACCCCCTCCCACAGGCAGGAATGAATGCTGGGTTCACAAGACCCCAGACAGGTGATCATCTAACCTCTTTTTGAATTTACCCAAGGTGGGGGTAAGGACCACTTCCCTAGAAAGTTGGTTCCAGATTCTGGCCACCCTGACTGTAAAATATTGCCTCCTGATCTCTAACCTAAACCTGTTCTTCATCAGATTATTACTGTTGTTCCTCGTCACCCCCAGTGGTGCTGGGGAGCATAGGGCTCTTTCTATTTGCTGATGATCTCCCCTGAAGAGTTTGTAGGCAGCCACCAGGTCCCCCCTCAGCCTCCTCTTGCTGAGGCTGAACAGGTTCAGGTCCCTCAGTCTCTCCTCATAGGGCCTGCCCTCTCACCAAGCAGGTGGCCCTCCCCTGAACTCTATCCAGGCTGACCACATCCCTTTAATCAAAAATCTTGATATAGAACTTACCCAACATCATACTTAAAATTAAGGATCTTCTTGGTATAACAAATCTAAATTTATTTTTAAGTTTCTATTTTCTAGATACTTTTTGCAGTGATTATGGAAGTGAGCATATCTTGGATGAAATTCTAGTTTTGTCTCAAATCATCATGGATTGCCTGTTGTCAATTCATACACAATCCTCATCCTCCCAAATGTTTCTGCCTCTGAAGTTTTTTGCCTTTGTCCTCTTGAAAGCTGAAGACATTGATGCACCTTCCATTTCTGACAAGTTTTGACCTTTGGGCTAGAGTCCTTTCATCCATCCTTGCTCAAAGGCTCCCTTTGGAGCAGTTTTCCTAGCCCACACCACCACCACCACCGTGGAGTGGATATGAACAGACTTCTGTTTTGGGACAACTTGACTGTTACTTCAGATCCGTGACTGGGCAAAGGCTTTGAAGGATCAGATTAGGAACATTAACAAAGATGGAAAAAAAAACCCCAACAAGCTATTAATTCTACTCAAACAGCTCTTTGGTTTTGAGATTTTGCCTTTTATGCTACACTGCTGAAGAACCTAGTGCAGAATAAGTTTAAATGTCATGAGTACTGATTATAGAATTTGGAGTATACCCAGTCTTTTTTTAAATCTAGAAGCCTAGTTTCTCCCATTCCTAAATATAATACTTGCTCTATTATAAATCTTGCCAGCATATCATACATTTTAATTCTATGTTTGAATATTTCATCCAGATCTCCCAGTTGTCAAGTACAGATGTTAACAAAAAGGTTTTTTTCACCTGTAGATGAGCATGAAGAAATCAGAGAAATGACTAATTTCTCTGCTTCCTAGCTCTTAAACACAGTTGAAATTGAGTATCTAGCAAGGATGAACTTAAATTTACTGTAGACCTGACTTCAGCACCCTTATGTATAGCATTGATGGTCTTGTTAGGGATCATAGTTTTCTGTGATGAAAAGGACAGAAATGTTAAAAAAATAAGTGTTTCTGTGGTAAGCCTCCCCCCAGAACTGATTGGCTGTGGGGCTTGTAGTGGCCCCACCCCTTGCTGCTGATTGGCTGAGGGCTGTCATTCATGTGGCCCTGCCCCTCAGTGGCAGAGAGGGGTGAGGTCACACAATGGGCAGCACTCTCAGCTAATCAGCAGCAGAGGGAGGAGAGGGCAGCTGCCATCTCAGCTGCTTCCCTGTGTGCTGGTGGCTTCTCACCCCTGGCAGTCTGCCTTAGAGGCTGTAGTAACTGCTGGCTCCTCCTAGAAAGCCAACATTTCATTTTCTGTACGGTTTCCCCCCACCCCAACTCTAAAGCTTGCCTATAAAAAATACACATTCCATGTTTCTCCATGGCAAACTAATTTCTAGGATCCCTGATGATCACCCAGCTACACCTTTCCTACAGACTCCCAGCCTCATTGACTAATAATCTTAACTACTACATATTCTTCTCAATGTGTGACCCTATGCTAGATATCTTTCACACCATCCACTGAATATTAAATTTAATTTTTTCTTGGTTTTTTCTGATAGTGCAAGTACCACAGGTCTTTACAAATAAAAGTGATCTTCATAAGAATGCCTGAAGTGAAAGGGATCGATTCTGTTTTGCACGTGGGATAAAATGGGTTGGAAAATCAAAAATTGGCTGAAAATAGGATTCAAGCAGCCTTGGCCAAATTTTTCAGAGTACTCAACATTTTACAGCATGTTATATGCAGAGCAGAAATCCCACTGAATTTTGTGGCAGCTGAGAGTGTGCACTTCTTGCAGAGTTGACCCTAAGTGTTTCAAGTGAAGCAGTCAAGAAACAGGAACTAGTTATCTATAAATATTTTCATTTATATGACTTGCCCAACTTCACATAAAGCAGTCTATGGCAGAGGCAGCATTAAGATACCTTCACCATAACAGCAACTCTTCCCTCACTGCAGTTCCTGTTTCATTTACCATGCCTCTTCAACTTTTGCAATAGAGACAACAGCTACTTTCATGACATACACTTGATGCATGACAAAAATACGCTAACTCTGCACTGGATGAGGCAGGGGACCTGTTGGAAAAAGGGGATATGTTCATATAATTAAATTCATAACATGCCTTGGGGAGACAGAGTAAATAGCTGCCCAAGTACATTAGTACAGACACTAACTTCTGAGCATTTTTGCAATTGTTAAGTTTCTGTTATTTAACTGAAAAATGGCGGTATTAAAACAAGCGAGTTAACCCACATGCACACAGGTGGGGATCTTTACATCTACAGCCCTTTTTTCTGCTACTGGGTATCAAAAGCATCTTATCTTCTATCTCAATCTGCCCCCAAAAGGTACGAAAGCTTTGTCAGTTGGTTTCACAACTATCTGCAAGACATCAAAAGAATGCAGAGGCTCAGCATTCCTGGCTTCCAGAGGGGAGCCTCTATAGTGGTTACATACCTTCCTGCTCCTCCCCACATACTCTGTCCCCCTGTCCTGCCCCATAACCATTCCTCATCCTGCTTGCATCTCTGTTCCTGCCCCGTCAGTCACTTTACCTTTCCAGCCCCTATCCTCTCAAACCTTTTGCTTCTCTTAAGCATTGTTAGGATGTTTCTTCTGCTCCTTCCCACTGCATGGGAAACACTGTAAATAGGGCTGAAAGTGGAGTGGCAGTCTCCCTCTTCTCATTTGACTAATACAATAGCAGCCCCCAGCAGCTGGGAGAAGCAATTGCCAGTGAAGGCCTGACTGGCTCCAGTGAGTAACATTACAAGCTATGAAGGGACCAATCAAGTTCAGAGAATTTCACTTAGGTTCAGTGCCCAAATGCTAACAAACTATCACTGACTGCACAAGGGTGAGATTTTTTTTTTTTTTTTTTTTCCGAGGCTCATAAC